TAACAAGAAAATAATATGTATAATGACCGGATGTTTGGACGGCACCGTGAATCCCATCACATTTTAGTGCACAATAGCGCGGTGTGATCCACATCATCATCTGGACATACAATATCCGACATAATATTTTCCCTCAAATAACAACAATCTGAATGCGGATAAGTCGAGCCACAGCAGCCCATCCAGACTATTGTCCACACATGCAATCGCCGGGCAAGATAAAACAAAGGTTGAGAAGATGAAGAGAAGGGGGCAGTTTTTTTTTAATATATTTTTTAATTAAAAATAAAATATAATTTTAATAATTTCTAAGGTTTGCAAAATAAAAAAAGAATTAAAAAAAAAAAATAATAATCATCATCACCTGATCTCCTCTCCTTCTCTTCCATGCGGATTCTACACATCTACAAAGAACCCAAACACCCATTCATGCCTTCATTAATTAATTAATAATAATAATTTTAAAAAAAATGGAAAAAAAAAGAAAAATATATATTAAATTAAAATAAATTAAACCTGAAGACGGCTCTTAATATGAGAGAGCTGAATATGCGGGCATTTCAAAAGCTCTCTAATTTGTTTAGGCGTAGCTTCTGCATTAATATTATAATAATTTAAGTAAGGAAAAATAATTTCTAAAAAAAAAAAAAAGGAAAAAAATAATTAAATTACTTCTTGTTCCTCCGAGGACTGTCATGGCATCTTCGAAGAGCTGCTTGAGGTCGCCGGTCCAGTTGAAACGCGGCTTGCTAGAACGCACGTATGGCCGCACTTCTCCGCTGCTTCTGCGGTGAGCCATCGCTGTTCTCTCGTGCATGGAACAAAAGCTCACACACACACACACTCTCTCTCTCTCTCCCGCTCAGCCTGTTTAAATAAACTCCCTCTCTCTCTCTATCTCTAGGGGGTGTTTGCCAGCATACATTTAATAGGATTTAATCATAAATTTAATGTAAATCCAATCAAACATAAAAAAATATACAAATTAAATCTAAACCTCCATAAATCAAATTTTCTCGTGTTCTGTCTTTGTATTTACGTCGCAATGGAGACGGATCGGGGAAAGACAGCGACGAAGCGCCAAAAAATTAGATTTAACGGAGCTTCGGAGTTAAGTTTTATTTTTATTTTTTTAATTTTTTGCTGAATTTAAAATAAATTCATGCCCAAATCCTTTTAGTAATATACTATGATTTATAAATAATAAATTTTAACATTTTTTAAGCATTATAAAAAATAATATGAAAATGTTATGGTAATGTTATTTATTTACTTATATAATTTGTTAGATGTTGGACTAATTTATAAATCAAGCTAAAAAAATATAAATATTCGACTAATTTGCTTAAATTACATAGAATCAACATATTTGGCAAGTTAAACATGGACTTTTGGTAAATTATTAGCTTTTTGATGCCTCTCTCTCTCTCTCTCTCTCTCTCTCTCTCCCGCATTTTTATTACAAATTTACCTTTTGTGAAGATAATATTTTCTCTAGTTATTACATACTACAATAGATAGGAGAAGGATGTAACAAGAAAGAAAAATTCATGCATATCAGCTAAGTGTATGTTTGGGGCAGCTTGTGTGTTTCAAGATAAATATGTTATCCTGAAACGCGGCCCACAGGTGTCGACTCGCGGTCTGTGCTTAGTGTAAAAAACTCAAACGCGGCAGACAGCGTTTTCAAAAATGATTAAACCAAACAGTTAGGCAGCGTTTTCAAAAACGCTACCCCACACGGGCCTTAAATATTTTAATATTTACTTGAGCAAAAGATTTACCCTAATTCATATATATATGAAAATAAATATAAATATATATTCACTTTCTTAAAGTTAAAATAATACAATTAATCTATTTAAGGGGCATTTACATCTCTGAAATAATTAAATATATAAGAAAAAAAATAAGAGAAAAGAAACACAACCACTTTCATATATTCATGTTAAGACATTGTGAAATAATTAAAAAAATAAGAAAAAAATTATATATTAAGATATCATAATATTATTTGTTAAAAATTATATTTAGAAATTAAACATTATTAAATTTATTATAAGATTAATGTAATATGTATTATTTATGTTAAACACTAAAATAAACATAATGATTTTCATTTAGTACTTTAAATTAAAATTATGGCAAATTAATAGTTTTTTTTTATGTGGCATTTCGAATTAATTAGGCTTATAATTAAGAAAAAAAAGTAGAATATTAATGCTTGAATGGAAGCATGCAAGGAGTTGGTGTGTGGACATAAGAGTGGGAAAGAGAACAAATTGTACCCGTGTTCCATCTCTGAAATTCTCCTGTCACCTGAAAAAGGCCGAAAAATTCGTCAGACCATCAAGAGCTTCTGGTTTTTTTCTGATGTGCTCTTAGTGGCATTGCTTTTGCTATATATATATATATATATATATGGGTTGATTAAGATGAGTATTTAGTTAAGAAGAAAAAAAAATATTGATTGATTGAACAAGCATTTTATGATTACCAAGAGTTCACAAACCAATTAGCATAAGGTCATAAGAAGAGAAGACTTAGCCCTTCACAAAACTAATTAATGAACTGATCCAAAGAGGCATTAAATATATAATCAAGCTCGAAGGCAAGATACTTAACCATCAACGACAAAAAATCATAAAGAAATTTGTTACTCAGGCTCTCTGTAATTATGTTTCCACTGGTTACAATAACTTTGGTCTCAACAATATTTACAATATATATCTATATTCTTAATAAATGAAGTTGTGGCAAGGTGTTTGATCATAGGTCATGCTTTTTTAAATCAATTACTTCAATATCAAAAAAGCTTTGCATGGAGAGATTTGTATGTAGTCCACTAACATGTTGAAGTATTTTTAATTGGGAATTATCGTTTTGAGACAATTTTTAATCATATTTGACATGCTACTAATACGAAAGAGGAGAATGTAGGAGTTAAATCATCAAGCCCAAGATTTTATTAAAAAAAATAATGCTATAAAGAGCATCAACGATTGTTTACGTAGCAATACAAGATTATTTGTTGAAGTTAAAATAATAATAGAGTTAAGAACTGAGAGGGATTGCCACATTAAGAAAATATGGTGAATAGTTAATAATATAATTGTCGGCACTATTTTTGGTGTGGGGTT